CATAAAAAGTTATGAAATATGCTTGCTTTCCGAAGTCTTTTTTTTTTTTTCATCATGCCCAAATGAAAATTTTAACTCTCCAGATCGCTCAGTCATGGAACTGAATCTTATTAGACTTAAAAATGTAGACTATTATGTTAAAGACTGTTTGTAACTAGTTATTTTCAAAAAAGTGCTAAAGTAGTTGCAAATAATGAGTGAAGCTCTATGTAAATAAATTATTTGACCTGTTTAATTTTTTAATTAAAGTGTTTGACAGATAAATTTACAGCTTCATGTGTTACATGTATTTTTAAAAATAACTTTAAAAATTGCAATCAGTATCCATGTTTCTTCTAATTCATAGTTAGAGAAAGTTTGTTCTGCTGCTTTTTCGTTCTGAAAGAATCAGAATTTTACATGTTGAAAATTAACCAAGGTTATTTTTCTTTTGGGAAAAAAAAAGGCTTTGACTCACCAAAATCTCACAAGACTTCTTTCAAAGCTTGAGCTTCCCTTTTGGCATCTTATTCATTACTTCCTGAGAGCGGCCAGTCTCTTAGGTAGAAATGACTAGATTTCTAGAAATGGTGCCTCAGTGAGTCATCATTTTGGCCTGAAAATCCCATTTCCAGGGCACAACATCATGGATAGTGGCACACCCCTTATGAGACATGCGTTAGCAGAACTGAAGCATTTATGCATTGAAAATATTTTTTCCCCTAAAGTTTTTGGATGTAAAACAGAGAAATTAACCTAAGTGTAAGTTAGGAGTCATCCACTGAATGGGGTCATGTACTGTTTTGTGGAAAATGGTTTCACAAGTACAAACTAGCAGTGCTATACGAGTTGGTTCACTGAGGGGGGGATGACCTAAGCTTGAGGGTAAGACCAGAGTTCAGGACTCTCCAACCAGGGATCAGAAAATCCCAAGAACAGGGTGGATGAATTACAGAATTAGAATTGTGAATGGGCAGTCCTAATTAAGAACCAGTAGAAGTCAGTAAGTCATAAAGGGACTCAGGAAATAAATATAAGACATTCCAATGAAATCTTGCTAATGGAGACTTGCTGAGCTTTTTTTTTTTTTTTAATGGGTTTATATGAGCTTCATTAAATTAAAAAAAACACTTATGTGTATAAATTTAAAAACCAAAGGGAGAATTGACATATTTGCTATATTAAGCCTTTGCATTCATGAATATATCTCCATTTATTCAAGTCGGTGTTTATGTTCCTCAGTCTAGTATTATTCCTCCAAGTCTTTCTATTGTTTTTTAGGTCTATTCTTGGCTTCACTGTGGTTTTGTCATTACTGTTGTTTCCTACAATGAACAAAATTTTTTCTATGATTTCTTATAATTGATTGTTGTTGTGTAGGAACCTTAATAATTCTGATATTGACTTTGTATCCTGCACATTTTGTGAAATCTATTGGTGAAAATTCCACAATACATAGGTAGGCAATACATATAATTTTCTTTCTTTATTTGTAATATATTCCATTGGCTAAAATTTACAATCCAGTAGAGGAATTACCTACATTTGTTATCTAAGTATCTATTTTTTTAATCAAAGACTTGAATTTTATGAAATGCTTTTTTCCTACTATTTATTATGATCAGGTGGTTTACCCTGTTGATTAGTGTAGAATTTTATGAAATGCTTTTTTTCTACTATTTATTATGATCAGGTGGTTTACCCTGTTGATTAGTGTAATATGCAATAGTTTTCTACTGAACTCTTTCTATATCACCAGGACAAATGGAATTAGAACATGATGTGTCATTTCATATACACCTTTACTTCTAAATAATACTATATTATTTAATATTTTGGCATTTATATTTATGTCAGATTGCTCCGTAAATTTGATTTCAATTTAAAATGTGCTTTATATCTACAGGTGTGTCTTGTGCATTTCTCATGTTTGTGTTATGTTTTAGTGATTAGTCTTATTTCTTTTTCACTTTTTTTTCATCCTGAAATCAGGTTTGATTTCATTGGTTACTTTTCTTCACTTCCTTGTTTTCTACTTTACTTATACCTGCTCCTATTATTTTCTTGCTTCAACTTTCTTCAGATTTATTGTGTTTTACTTTTCCTAGTTTCTTCAGTTAAATGCTTAACTCATTTAGTTTGAAAAAAAACCTGTTTTAAAATACTTTTCAAAGAAATGACTAAGTTTATTAGATTTCCATTCTTAGAACAGCAATGCCTGCATCCTATAAATTTTGCTCTATAGTATTTTAAACTATCCTTTGTTTCTAAGTGTCCTCATTTCCATTAAAGCTTCCTTGTTATTCTGTGAGCAAGTACCTAGGAGCACATTTTAAAGTTTTAGTGTATATGCATATGTGTTTTCAGACATGTTTACTCTTTTGTAACTAATTTGCTTGCCTTGTGGGTAAAAACCAAAGTCCATATGGTATTAATTACTTGAAATATTTTGAGACCTTCTCTGTTCTTAAGTTTCTATCTCTGGCTTGTAGTTTTTACTTAGCCTCAAAGTCCAGAAGTAGGTCTTATAATTAAAGTTTAAAGCTTCTTTTCTGCAGTGATTGATACTGAAGACACAGAAAATGTGGACAGTAATCCTACAGGTCTCTTGATTGACTATTCTGAATGTATCAGTATTCATGGTCTTCATACATGGGCAGCTCCATAGAAACAGTAACACCTAAGAGGTGGCTGGGTGGCTCAGTCAGTTAAGTGTCTGACGTCTGTTCAGGTCATGATCTCACAGTCCATGGGTTAGAGCCCTGCATCGTGCTCTGTGCTGACAGCTCAGAGCCTGGAGCCTGCTTCAGATTTCTGTTTCCTCTCTCTGCCTCTTCCCTGCTTGTGCTCCATCTCTCTTGGGAGTGTTCCCCCCACCCCCCAAGTATGTTTCATAAGAGGGGAACTCCCTTCCTGTCTGTAACTTTAAGGAGTGGCCCCTGACTGACCTGGACTACTTTTGGCTCCCTGTTCACAGGGGCTCACAGAGCTTGGCTCTTGGTCCCTACTGTCTGTTCCCAGACCCAGAGCTCAGATGACCAATGGGTTTGAGACCCACTCAGCATCTTGAGTTTTCTATTTCTGATTCAAAATAAGTTTCATTTTACCTTTTATCATGTTATGGCATTTTGGTTTTTCCTTTCTATATTTTATTCCTATGTGTTTTGATCAGAGGGAGTGCATCCAACCATAAACTTCCTGCACTTTATTGATTTAAAATTTATCTTAAAAAATTTGGACTTTTTCTGTGTATGGTATAGGATGAAATTTCTCTCTCTCTCTTCAAGACTGAATAAAAGCATCTCACTTATGCAATGATAAATGACAATTCAGTCCATCCTGTGGGATGGATTAAAAATATCACAAATTGGGCACCTGGGTGGCACAGTTGTTCAAGTGTCTGACTCCTGATCTCCCCTCAGGTAATGACCTCACAGTTTGTGGGATCAAGCCCCACCTTGGGCTCTGTGCTGACAGCACAGAGCCTGCTTGGGATTCTTTCTCTCTTAAGTAGATAAGCAAACTTAAAAAATAATATCACATATTGGCGGACTCTGTAAAATTGATTTGGAACTCACTAAGATGTAGATTTATATATTTATATTTTCTTTTGGAATTTTGAAAGGAGACCAGAGTTTACAGTTAAGTTCACAACTTTTTCTATCATCTTAAAACCCATTTCACTCACTTGTACAACTTGCCAGGCCCTAAAAGCATCGAGTATGCAAATTATACTGTAAAATGCAAGTCCTTTACCTTTCAAGCTCATGGATACCATTGTTTTTGACTCATTCATAGGAGTATTTTTGAAAAATTTACTTCCCAAAATATTTTTCCTCTGATTTTGCTTGCATATAGCATAACTCTCTCCAGACTGCAAATGAAATATCTGCAGAGGAGATGGTTAATGTCTAATCTAAGATTTGGCAGGAAATATTTGTGGAGCAATAAGTCATCTTTTAAAGATCACTGAACCTTGCTTGACCTTAACTTCTTCATCTGTTAAAATGAGAGAAATGGATTATCTGACCTTTGAGATTCGTGTAGGAACATGGCTGTGTCTATATCCTGGCTCTGAATAAATAATAATAGTAAATGGCATTTGGGAGGAACTACCATATGGTATGTAACTAGGTGTGATGCCATGTCTAATTCTGTTGATTTAAAATTCGTAAAAAACCATTAGTGAGTTGGAAGACCGGGTGAAGAACCTATTAATTACATGGGCAAACGATGCTATATAAGGAGATGTTACAAATGGGGAAGAAACGATAGGTGTGGCACGCATGCCCAAGAGAGAGAGTAAAGCACTTACTGACTGATGTGCGCATTATGTTACTCTAGCAAGAATTTTTCTTAATGAGCCAGATTTTCCCATTGTTTAAACTGTTCCCTTATTTCTTCCAGGTGCTAGAGTACTATGCCCTGGAGTATCAAAACTGCCTTTGATGTTACCCTGATGTCCCAAATGTTGTACTTGTCAAAGCGTGGTTTAGGCAGCTGAGAAGATCTGGTTCAATTTAATGTTCAGTTTTCCGTACCAGGAGTTTTTACATGATATCCTGTTTTATCCCCAGAGGATTATATTAATTGCAATAGGAACACTGAGGTAGTAACACATTTAGCATTATTTATCTTGGCATTAGCACACTAAGGACCTATTTAGCCGGTGGGAGCTTCAGAAGCATCATTTTCAGTTTCTAAAGAAATCAAGTTTTATTCCCAATCCTTGGCATTTCTTAAGCAAGCCTCTGTGTAGCCTTAATGAGCTATTCACCTTCTCAAAGGAAAACTGAGTATTAATAACAAACTATCCATATTGCCCAAAGGGACCAACGTTTTGTCGACTTCTAGTCTTCCTAATTTTTCAGATTTGCTGACTGTGGCATAATTCTGGTTACTTATTCTTTCATGTTTTGTTGCAGCTGCTACTGTTGTTTAACATCAAAGCAATTTCATAACTTTGACATGAATAGTACTTTTTAGTGCTATGAAATGTTTATTTCAGTATATATACTCACAGTTGCTGTAGCTCAAGTTCAGACTCATATATCATACTGTTATCTAATATTTGCCCTTCACGTTTGTCCTTCTCAGGTTGTGTTTTGACGGACATGAACTGAAGTTAGTTACCCATTAGGACTCTGCCTGATCTGGGCCCCTTTCCCCTCTGAAAGAAAAGAAAACAGGTTATTTTCATTTTAAAATTTTACAGTCACTTACTGTATATAGGGAAGTGAAAAGAAGCATTAAAGATAACAAAGTAAAGCACATTTAGAATTTCACTCATTTTGTATGTATTCTTTTCAAGGACAGAAGAGTAGATCTTTTGCAGGTTTTTTTTCCTACTTTAATCCTTGAACAGTCATCACCAAGCATCCTTTATGAAGGCCACATTTACTTTTCAAAACTTTTTGTCTTTCAGACTATAAGTAATGCATATTCATTGTATATATTGTGTACATTCCTGAATTAGATAAATTCCTAAGGTACAAAAAAAGATTCTAATAATAAACACCATTAAAATCTCACCCATATTTTTACTACTGAGGCAACTACTAGTTTTCCTATCTTTTTGTGTATACACAGTGCTTTTCTTTAAATAGTTTTTTAATGTTTATTTATTTTTAAGAGAGAGAGAGACAGAATCTGAAGCAATCTCAGTCAGCACAGAGCCTGACGCATGGCTCGAACTCATGAGCCGTGAGGTCATAAACTGAGGCCAAGTCGGACACTTAACTGACTTAGCTACCCAGATGCCCTTGTATACACAATGCTTTTTGATCAAGTTTGCTATTACATTTGGGGAATAGTGACCAGTGTCTACCAAGCATGTCTGCCGCTATGAATTTTAAATACTTGAATTTCTGTTAAGAAGCACAATGATCCATTACAACATTATTTGTTGGGAAAATTCAAACACCACCAGTGTTACTAGGATCAGGTTTCTGAGGACTTGGAGATGCAGTAGAGAAGTTGTCCCTAACCACTTCTGCTTCTAGATGGGCAGTCAGAGGGATAACTGCATATGGACATGTGAATGGATCAGCTTTCTTCAGCAAAGCAAAATATCTAAACAAAAAATAACCACTTGACAGACAATAAAAATTAATGAAATAGCATTTCATGTCTTTGGCATCAAACAGTGCATTTAGCTGACCATTATAAATAGCCATATGATTTCTAATTCTAAAAATGACATAATGTAATTAAGTCATGTCTGGCAAAAAAAAAAATCTTAATTTGGTTAATCTTATGATTTCTCTCCCAAATATTTCTGGACTGAGCTGCTGGCATTTCTTTATACCTAAAATATATTTCACTGCACAAATATTTGAATTGGGTACAGAGTTTCATGCATTTAATCTTGTATATCTTCTGCCTCAAATCATGTTTCACTGGAGTAAAGCTTAGTTTTATTCTGTCAGCAAAGTGGTTGCTAGCATTCTCCAAGCTATCCAATGAGAACAGAGGACACCAAATAGAAAACACTAGACCAGATCTGGTTTACAGTTATCTTCTGTTAGGTCTGATTTTTTTAAAATCAGTTGCTACCATTTAAAAACTGGTAGAATGCATACAAAGATATGGGTCCCTTGCTTTCTTTATATATCAAGAGATCAGGCAATCCTGGGACTGCACTGAAGTACAGTATCAGTTGGTCTGGACTGAGTAGTGCTGTTCCCTGCTAGTCTATTTTCATAGTCACCTCTCATCCTATTTTTATATTCTAGATAAGACATTTGCAATTTTTTGAAGAATTATTTCAGCCTATATTGTCCCATTTTCTTAAAATGCACTTGTTCTTCTCATCATCCCTTGGATATCATGTACAGTCTCTCAGCATCAGTATCAATGCCACATTTTCCTGATGTAGCCTGGCCTTTTACTAGCTAAATTAAGGGTCTCCCCATTTGTCTTCCACTGAAACTTTGGCTATAGTTCTATTGAACTATTTATCCTATTAATGACCTTAGAGGGCAATTTTTTTTATCTATGGCCCCTATGCTTCTCCACCTCCTGACTTGTTCCTTGAGGGAAAGGACCATATATCATGTAAACTTAATGTGTTCACAATCAGTAATTTGCTCAAGACATGCAAGCTGAATAAATAGGAAGTAAAATACATAGGGGCACCAGGGTGGCTCAGTTGGTTAAGCATCGACTCTTGGTTTTGGCTCAGGTCATGATCTCATGGTTTCAGGAGTTCAAACCCCGAGTCTGGCTCTGCACTGGCATCATGGAGCTTGCTTGGTATTCTGTCTCTCTCTCTCTGCCCCTCTTTCACTCATACTGTCTCTCTCAAAATAAACTTAAAAACATTAGAGAAGTAAAGTATGTATTTTTTTAGTGTTTGTTTTTGAGAGAGAGAGAGACAAAGCATGAGCACTGGAGAGGCAGACACACACAGAATCTGAAGTAGGCCAGGCTGTTAGCATAGAGCCTGATGCGGGGCTTGAACACACAAACCATGAAATCATGACCTTAGCCAAAATCGGAGGCTTAACCAACTGCATTACTCATGCACCTCTTAAAGATAAATTTCATTAAATTGAGCTTTAATGACTATTTTTATTGACACTTTTAATATTTGATGGTATAAGGCTTCTCCCTTTCTCTTCCCTTCCTCTTTTTCTTCCCCTGTCCTATCGGCTGTGGGTGTACGTGTACAAACACCTACACATGCACACCACTGCCACCACATAGCAAAATAATCATACTATGTAAGTATCCAGTAGGTTTCATTAGTACAGAAGTATCAATTTAAAATTTGCAGTGTAAATACCAAACTTATTATATGCCACTGCCCTATATAGTTCATCATATCTCATTTTTATATTTATCTCAAAAATAAGATGGAGAGACAGAATTAAAAGAAAAGGAAATTCTAAAGGCTCAAAGACTGCTATTTAGTAGGGATCATGTAGATGTGGTTGTTTTCTGAATGGAAGTTAGGAACTTTTAGATAAGCTCTAAAGGAGTTGACTACTGAAAACTTCTTCATGATTACAGTATCATGTCTACTTGCAAATGTGGGACATGAATACCCTCATCTGTGTGCCTACTGTGGAGCCATTTGTCTTTATGGGACTTTGCACAGCTGACAGCTAATGCAGGCGTTTAAATGCAAAATCTGGCACTGACGTTTCCCCCCGAATGACACTTCGATTCATAAATTATATGAATGTGTTTAGCACTATTCATTTATGAAATAATGCAGCTACCACTTAGTAATGCAATTCAAAACATCTTTCACTTTATTTAGCCATTTCCAACCTCATTACATGGGACTATGAAAAGAATAGAAATTGATTAGATAAGGAGAGAAAAGTGGGCAAAAGCATTTCCCAGCATGTTGCCCGCCTTGTGGCAAAATGATGGAACCATAACATTTTACTTCCTATTGAGGAGATGTTGCTTGCTTAGGTGGCCTGTTTCTGATTAAAAGCATCTTTGTAATATTGCGTTCATTTCCATAAAAAGAAAAATATGCCTTGTGCCAAAGAGCTAGTACTGACTGCAAAAAGAAACATGTTACTGTGGCAAGACAGGATATTCTTGGTTCCAAAGCCTGTAGGATGGCGGGTTTTGAATATGTAGCAAATTGGGGCACCTGGGTGGCTCAGTTGGTTAAGCGTCTGACTTCACTCAGGTCATGATTTCACGATCCGTGGGTTCGAGCCCCATGTCGGGTTCTGTGCTGACAACTAGCTCAGAGCCTGGAGTCTGTTTAAGATTCTGTATCTCCCTCTCTCACTCTGACCCTTCCCTGCTCATGCTGTCTCTCTCTCTCTCTCTGAAATAAATAAAACATTTTTAAAAATGTAGCAAATTAGGAGTTTAGAAGCCTAATTTCTCTACATTGGGTCAACGATAAAGGTAGAAATCATATAACCATTACTAGTGGCTAACTTAAGAATAGGTATAATTTTTTAGCACTTCTCGAATGCTATTTCCTCAAAATATATTACCTGTAATTGTCAAAACAACCTGGAGATAGGGAACTACTGTCCTATTTTATAAACGTGAACTCAGACTCAGCCTGGTTAACTTAACCAGGAGGTTAACTTAACCTTAATCTGCAGGAGGTGGGCAGTGGGGGTTTGAGCCAACCTTGCAACTGTTAACTTCTTATCTCTCATTCTCGTAGCTACTTTAGGGCCTACAGTGCCTCTTTTTGGAAAGATACAAGTGTTCCCATTGACTGTGTTCCTTATAGTGATTCGTGGGTCTTTGTGATGGGGTTACTCTTTGCTTGCTCCCATAAACTTTTTAGACTTGTAACAAAAGTATTTTGCTGTTTATGATTTTCCTTTTGAGGGACTGGTCTGGATACAGATCTGTTCTGTTTGAGGAGTGATGGGGAAAATGCACAATCATCAATCATGTCTCTGATGGCACGTGGGTGTGTGGTCTTGGTAAGTTACTCCATTGTCAATGAGATCAGGACACACTCATGTACTCATTCACAGAGGATGACTTAGAAGCAGCTCAAATTAGATTAAGAGTCTGATAAGGAATAACTGGTCAAAGGACAAGGGAGACATTTCACATAGTTTTCTATTATGTGGTATTAAGTATGAGGACCTTGCATTTGGAGCAGAAGGCTGCTAATTTCTCATGTGATCTTTATCAAGAAGTACAAAATCAGTGAGCAGCATACAGCTTGAGGAACGTGTCTCAGGTGGGTTATGAATTATACAGCCAGATGGCCTCACCTCCCCAAGGACTATTCTAAAGTCATATACATTCTTTATTCATTAATTTCAAATTTTTGCCTAACATTTCATTCATATGAGCCTTTTCTGCAAGGGAAAACATTTTAATAAAAAGGAAAATAATAAATTTGGATATTACTCATTTTGCAGGAAAATACAATCCTATCCTTTAAAAAAAAGTAAATGCTAAGATAGTATTTGTGATAAAAATATATTCACCAAGTGTTTTTACACTTCATTTATCAGAACTATGTAAGTCTTACCATTTCCTTCTTATTAAGGTCATGCACCTTATTAGTGGCAGAAAGAGCTTTATAGACCAAACATATTTATGTTGTATTTTAAATATAACACGAGGCTTATTGAATAGAACTGCTTTCCTTTTCCTCTTTGGTTTATTTCATTTTCTAAATAAGCCTGATACTATATTTTTAGTCAACTGGAATGTTCA